AAAAATTATTTTTTAAAATTATTTTGTGTTTACTAGTACATGCTTATAGTGCAATGATTATGTTCATCAAGGAAGGCTCCTATGTGGGTATAAAGCATCTTAATTCTTTTCACTTCCCTTCCCCTCCCTCTTCCTCCATCTCTTGGTCCCCTTCCCATTTGCAAAAGATCTATCTCCCTGTAATTTAAAAAAATACTATAAAAGACAGCTTCTATGTTGAATCTCTCAAAAAGATATGTGCCTGGAAATCTCTAGAGGGGGACCTGCCTGCATCTCTCCGGATGCTTTGTGCTCCCCTTTGCAGATTTTATAAATGCATTCCTAAGACCCACCAAAGACTGGTTTCCCATGTGACTGTGAAATAAGATAGTAAAAAGATGTCCCTGTTCTCCGAGACTGCAGCGGAAAGGTTTTCAAGTTGCCTTAGCGTCTCTGCACAGCCGCTTCCTAATTTAAAGATACTATAATTATGGATCAGCCTTGACATTGCTGGGAGTCTATGTAAAAACTTGGCCCAGGAAAAACTGAATCAAAATGTACAGTTTCTTTGATTTCATATGGCCAAGATTTTGTCTAAAAAATTCTCCATGTCATCAGAGATTGCTCTGGGAGTGGAGCTCTTCTCTAGCCCTCTGGGATGACTCTGGGGTGACCCGCTGGAGCCACTTCTGAAGGACATCGGTCACATGCGGGAGCTAGGGACATTTGCACATTGCAGGCGCCACAGCCAGGAGAGGCTCCTGCTTTAGATTCTAAATATTGAACAAACCACAAAGGACAGAGGTCTGCCCTGGCTCCTTTGTAGCAACCAAGTGCAGCCACATTCCACCACCCTCGGTCACAGAGAGTGACTGTCATTTAAGTGGCCATTCTTCGTCCAACACATGGAAGGGTTCTCAAGTATCTCCAGAGGATTTTGTGAAATCATGGTTTGTCTGGTTTCCACTGGTGCTGGAGAGTTCCAGAACGGAGCCTGCCCTCTTAGCCTAAGCAAAGCAGCTCAAATTACTTAGTTGCCTAATTTAATTGTTATTTGGTGAGTTGTACATTAAACACCATTTACGCAGCAGTGGTCTCCAATCCCGCCCTGCAAAGGGCAAACTTGTAAATCATTTATTTCTGTAATTCTAGATGGCTACTGGTTATTTTATTTGAACCATCATCTGACTTCTGACTTCTTGCTTTGGAAGATGGAGATTAGACTCTCTCTTATCACACACATCCTGTCCCCTGCACACGCCACAGCCTCACACAAATACACCCTTCCCCTCGTCTTCCTAAGTAATAGCAAAGTGTTTAAGAAAGTCCACCGTGTATATTATCATGACTACAGGAGACGCTGTTAATACCTCACTCCCAGGACGGCTCAGGGACAGATTTCCAGAAGAGGTAACAGCGACCAAGAGACGTGAAAATGCAAGCCTGAGATAGCAGGAGTGCAGGGGAGATGGGAAGGAGACTGCAAGTGCAAAGAATTCTTTAGAATTCTAGGAAGTGTGGTCCCTGGGAATGTGTGGCAGAAAGGAGCAGCTGGGCCACCACAGGGAGCCGCCTGCACCTGAGGACAGAGAGGCCTAGGGACTGAATGCAGAGCAGTACAGGGTGTGTGTGTGTGTGTGTGTGTGTGTGTGTGTGTGTGTGTGTGAGACAGAGAGAGAGAGAGAGAGAGATTTGTATTTTAGGAAGATGCCCGTGGTGCCCGTGAGGATGGGTGAGAAGGGGTGTTACAGTTCAGATCTAGAATGTCCCCTAAAAGTCTCATGCATCAGAGGCGGGGCTTCAGAAGGTGATCAGATCACGGGTGCTGTACTCATGAGTGCCTGAACCCACTGATGAGTTCAGAGCTGACTGCGCTGTTAGGAGTTGGGGTCTGGTTGGGAGAGTCGGGTCATTGGGGCTGTGACCTGGAAGGGTGTATTCTTGTCCCTGACTCTTCCCCTCTCTCTCTGCTTCCTGGCTGCCATGGAGGTGACCACCTTTCCTTCACCACACTCTTCTGCCATAGCAGTCCTGCTCTGGAATTAGCCAACCATGGACTTCACCTGCTGAAACCATAAGCCACGCAAACCTCTTCCACCATAGGTTGTAGGTGTTGGATATTTTGTCCCAGGAACAGGAAAGCTGACTAATACAGAGGGTGTGCTCCAACACAGCTGTCTAGGTCAGAAGTGACACTTGGCTGGAGGTGACAGTCAGAGCCCACCCAGGCAGGCACCTGGTCATAGACTGTGACTGTGAAGGAGAAACACCCGGCTTAGAAAGGAGGAGGATGTGATCTCACTCAAACCCACTGAGTCTGAGGTGGGGGTGGGATGTGTGGGGTGGGAGCCGAGGAGAAAGAATCAAGCCTGGAACAAGGTGGGGGGATATGTTTTTTAAATTACTAGTTGACTATAGAATTTCTGTTCAGAAACTGGCTTTGTGTGGGAAAATGTCGTGCTGAGAAGTTGCTTCAGTTGAAAAGGTGAAACTCCCACTCTGGAAGGGGCAGGACTCAGTCACGTTTGAGACTCAGAGGAGCAGAAGTGCTTCAGATGACAAGCAAGACTCTGGTGTTGCTGAGACAGTCAAAGGAGGAGGGAAGGGAAGCTGAGGAGGGAGGAAGGGAAGCAAGATGGCAGGAGGCTGGGCATGACCTAGTACGACCCCAAAACTTCTGTCACAGCCTCATAGCCCCCAGTGAGGTGTGCACTGGGAGGAGCCTAGCACTCATGAGGCCCTGGATTCCACCTTTAGTAGCCTCAAAAATATGGGGGATCAAAGAAGAGGTTGGGTTGTCCTTCTGAGTCTACTTGGTGCAGATAGGTAGCGAGCCTGTGAAGAAACCCAGGACCCAGGGTGGATAAAGCCAGAGTTTCTGGGAGTCAGAGGACCCCTGGGGGGCCTTAGAACCAGCAGTCTAAGCCCATGTTGTGAGGTTGGTGGCTCCCTCAATTTCAAATGAAGGGAGAATCCCTGCCCATGCCGAATTATCGCAGGTCACAACAGAGTAGATGAGGTCCCCAGGTTGGTGTGAAATGAGAGGGGAAGGGGTCAGAACACCAGCTGCCGGGGGAGGGGAGGGTGATAAAATAGGGGAAAGGGAACCAGGCATGGTAGGACACACCTGTAATCCCATCACCCTGGGAGGCTGAGGCAGGAGGATCAAAAGTTCACGCCCAGCCAGGGCAATTTAGTAAAACCCTGTCTCAAAAATTTTTTTTCTAAAAAGGCCTGAAATGTGGCTTAGTTCAAATGCCCTGGATTCCACCCCTAGTATCAGAAAGAAGAAAAAACAGAGGAGAAAGGGAGCCCTTCCAGGAAGAAGCGGTGCCAGGAAGCCAAGAACAATGAGAACTGCAGAGCGCCCGTTGTTCTGCTGTCCCAGCAGGGCTGGCGGCGCAGACGCTGCAGCAGAGGGAAGAGTGAACGGTCATGGGGACGTGGCCTTTGTCTCCCCCTGAACTGTTAGTCGAAATTCTACCCACAAGGTGATGGCACTGGGAGGTGGAACTTGGGGAATGAGAGGGATAAAAGCCCTCATTAGAGGACCCTAGAGCTCTCCCGGTCCCTCTCTCTGCTCTGTCATGTGAGGCCGTGATGGGAACCAGCAGTCTGGGCCAGAGCGGCCCCCACAGTCCTGACTTTTGGCACCCCCAATTGTTCCAGCCAAGGGAGCAGAAGGCGATAGATACCTTGTTGTTTACAAGCCACCCTTGTCTGGGGCACTGTGTTATAGCAGCCGGACCGGCTTGAAACAATAGTAAGTAAAGCAGAGCACAGAGCACACCAAAGCGTTCTAGAAACATGACTTCGCAGGTGTCCCGGGAGCCCCGGGCTGAATCCTGCCCCACGGCCCTGGTCAGGTGGTGCTGTCACACAGGAAGAGGAACAAACCACCGGGACTGTGTGCGATTAAAGTCCCAGCCCAAATCCGTGCTCTCCCTTGCTCTCAAAGACACCTTTTACAGCGCAGTTATGACATTAATATGGAACGTGTTCAAAAATGGCCGGAAAAATTCTTGTCCCCAAACTGTGCCAATTACTGAGCAGAAAGAGCTCGCTTTAAATGAAGAAATGGAATTCCGATTAGAAGATGTCATTGCAAATAGTCTCTACTCCCAAAAGAAGGGGCACGGAGGTCCAGAAGACCCCCTTCCTTCGCAGCAAGCAGGCAGTGTGCTCAAGGCCTCTCTGTCTGCTCCCCGAAAGGGCAGCATCCACTTCTGGATTATTTCTTTTTTCCAAGAACACCAAAGCAGAGACTGAAGCCAGTGTGGAAATAAGCAGGTGTGCACAGGGCTGTGGAGAAAGCGGGAGGTAGAATGAGCCCTTGGGATCCTGAGGCTTCGTGGTGCCTAGATCCCTCCACCTGGTTTCTTATTTTAAAGGGGTTTAAGTAGTGCTGGGAGCATAGGAGGCTCCTTCCCCTTCACAAGGGGCAGAGGTTAAAGGTCGATGCAGCTGGACAGGAGCCCAGGCTTGCGCACATTTGAAGGCTGTGGAGGACAGCGCTAAGGACGATGGGGAGGACGGTTAAGCCTGATTGTGGGGACTTGGCTGCTTCGGGAGCAGCGCGGGAGATCAGTTAAAGCACGCTCCTGGGCATGTCTGGTGGGTCATGGAGTTGTGGCCCCCGGAGGGGGAAGACGCCCGGCCTGGCAGGGAGGGCTGGACTGCTCTCTGCACGCTGAGCTTTGCTCAACACTGTTCTCCATGTTCACATGCAGTAACTTTAATTTTTTATTAATTTTTTTAAAAAAATTTAAATATGACATGCAGGAGAGAAGAAAGACTAGCAGAAAATACACCCATGCCTATCACCCAGTGGAAGAGCCTTAGTGGGGGGGGGAAGCCCCTCCGAGCACCTCTCTCGACTGTGTCTCCCCTCCCTGCCTGGACGACCTGCCACCCTGAGTCTGGGGTGAGTCCTCTCCTGCCCACACGATGGCAGCACAGGGAGGGACAGGCCGGGGGCCCTGTGACACTGCAGCACTGCAGGAAAAATGGGATGTGAAGCAACAAAAAAGAAGCAAAAACTGTACTTTAGAGATAGAACTTTATGCGGTTGCAGACTGGAACCAAAAGCTCTCCGTCCTTAGCACATTAAGAGCAAGGAGTGACAAGTCTGAAGTGACAGGTCTGGGAGGAGAGGGACCCTCCTAGGACACAGGAGCACAGAACACGCCCAGGTAAGGAGGCCTGGAGCAGGACTGACCCCACTGTCCCTTCTGGCCAACGCCACATCCATGTTCAGGGCAGAGAGACCGCCATCTTGTCCCTGGCTGGAGTGGTGGCTGCAACAGAGACCTGGTCTCAGCTGGCGGATGGATCCCAGGGGCCTCTGCAAGGGTGGGTTAATTTTTCCTGACAAGTTGATGCACCAGGCTCGCGTTTGCATGAGGAAAATACGATGGACGTCCTGGTGGATTGCTGGCACACAGCAGAGCACTCCCTGAGGGACAGGTGGGTGGGCGGCTGTTGGCTGACATTTCACTATCGTTCCAAACCCATCAAACATCCTGCAGTCCATCCAACAGCCTGGAAGTGGACAGGCTTCCACCCCTGCACTCTGTGCTGTCTGCTGGTGCTGTCTCCCACTCCATGCTGGACACGGTTTTCTGTGGAAACTTTCTCCTGTCTTTGTACATGGTATGTCAGGCTGCTTGGGCAGCTGTAACAAAACTGTAAGGTTCGGCGCAAGTGAGAGACACAACAAAGGTAAAAAAAACTTTTATTGTAGGGCATGGAGGGCTGCTAAAAAGACACAAGGACCCTCTGAGGAGGGGGCAGGGAGACAAAGGATATACTGGGCTCGGCTGAGGGTGGAGTTTTGGGGGGCCTCTAAGTGACTTAACATGCTGATTGGGAAGGAGGGATGTGCGTGCATAAAAATAGAATGGGAAATTGTGGTTGGACTGAGGAAAGAAGGCAGAAGTTAATCTGGGAGGGACACGTTGTTGTTTTAGGCTCTGCGCCACATCGGGTGGCCGCCATGATGACTTGGCATGGGGGTGGGGGGCCCCCATCATTACCGTCTTTTTGTTGGTGCAGAGGTGACAGCTGGCTGACTTAACTAATAAAAATGTGTTTTCTTTCATCTCTGGAGGAAGGACTGTCCAAGACAAAGGTGCTGGCAAGCTAGGTCTCACTCTGAGTCCTCATCTCTGGCCCTGTGGGCAACCAGCGTCTCATCACCATGTTCCTACATGACCTCTCCTTGTGTGCTCCAGAGAAAGCCTTCTGGCTTCTGTTTTTCTTCCTATAAGGACACCAAGCCTATCGGATTAGGGCCCCACCCTTAGGACTTCATTTAACTTTATCTTCCAAAGACCCCATCTCCAAACATAGCTGCACTAAAAGCTAAGCCTCCAGCATAGGAAGTATTGGGAGACACAATTCAAACTGCAGCAATTGAGTCCAAGCTGTTACTCATAACCTGATCTGTGTCTCCTAGGAGAATAGAAAGAAGGCCCCCACCGGGCCCCCTGGAAGGGTTGGAAATCTCCTGGGTCTGGGTGCGAGTGAAGTTGGTGTGTGTGCTTGTGAATGTGTGTGCATGAAAAATTCTTCAAGCTGTGCCTTAAGATATGCATTTTACTATATGTATGTCCTGTCTACACCTAAATATCTCCTCTCTCAGTTCCACGATGATTTGGATCTTAAATGGTCCCAGCCCGTGGCACTTTAGGAGGTGGTTTAGGCCTAGTGGAGGAAGGTTGAGTCACTGGAGAGGAGTTGTGCTGTAGACGGGGACGGTGGGACCTCACCCCTTCTTTTCTGTCTCTTTGCTTTCCAACAGACATAGGTGAGCAGCTTTGTCCCACCTCATGCCCCCACCATGACATTCTGCCTCACCATAGCCCCGAAACAGTGGATGGAGCCAGGTAACCATGGGCTGAGAGCCCTGAAACCACCAGCCAAAATAGATCCTCCCATTTTTAGATGATTATTATCTCAAGTACTTTGTCTCAGCAATGGAAAGTTGACTGGTACAATTTCTGATATTGGGGTAATTTGTGTCCCCCTGCCTTTCCCTAATCAGTCCGGCTAGAAGCTTCTCAATTTTATTGATATTCTGAAGTAACCAGCTCTGGTCTCACTGATTTTTCTGTAGTATTCTTTTGTTTACCACTTCACTGATTTCTTTTTTTATCTCTATTGTTTTGTTGGTATACTTAGATTTAATTTGCTCTTCTTTTACTATTTCTTTGTTTTCTTTTTTTGGTACCAAGAATCAAACTCAGGACCTCGCGCTTGCCAGACAGGTGCTGTTCCACTGAGCTATATCCCCGGCTCACTAATTTCTTAACATAGAGCCCAAGCATTGATTTACGATCTTTTTTTTTTTTCTAATATGCACATTCAAGGCTATGAGAGCACCGGGCCCTGCTATCCTTCCTGACCATTGGGCTGAGCCTCATCTCAGGGCAGCCTGGCCCCAGCCAGCTGTTCCAAGCTTCGGGTACTCATCGGCTCCACCTGGTGAGTGTGTGCAGCTTACCAAGCCTCAGCCCCACCGAGGGCCCGCTGGACTAGCCTCACTGCAAAGGAGCTCCAGCGCTAGGAGTTGTCCAGACTCAAAGGGGATTCTGAGGCATCACAACTGCAGCCGCTGCTTCTCAAATTGCTGGAGAGAAGAGCGGCTTTCCCTTTCGTTTGTTTGTTTTGTTTTGGTTTTTGGTTTTTTTTTTTTTCCGGTACGGGGAACCGAACTCACAACCTTGCGCTTGCCAGGCAGGCGCTTTTGCCGCTGAGCTAAATCCCCAGCCTGAGCTAAATCCCCAGCCGGCTTCCCCTTTCATTTCCAGTTTTTCTGTTTTGTTATTCTACTGACCGATACATTCATAGCACATAAAAATGAACCCGGTGGCTTGTAGAGGTTTCCCTTAGGGAAAGTGATGCACTTCCATCCCCTCTTAAACAAAGGGGTTCCCATTGCTTAGCATTTGAGCAGTGGCAGGAAGGCAGTTCCTAGACAGGCAGCGGTGCCGGAGGATGTTTCCACAGTGCAGATGCTCACGCCTCAGTCACAGCAGCGGGCCATCTGGTCTGAGGACCTTGCTCTCACTAGCACTGGTTAAGCTTATATGTTATTTTGAGAAAGGGTCTTGCTAAGTTGCCCAGGTGGGCCTCAGACTTAAAAGCCTTCTACCTCAGCCTCACAAAGTGCTGGCATTACAGTGTAGTCTTGCTTGGCTGTCCAGACTTCTTCCTTTTTTTTTTTTGTCTTTTTGAGACAGGGTCTTGGGATGCAGTTCAGGCTGGCCTTGAGCTCAGGCTGGTCTCGAGCTCGCAAAGACCCTCCTGCCTCAGCCTCCCAAGTGCTGGGATTACAGGCGTGCACCACCACACCCGGCCTGTCCAGACTTCTTGACTGTATGAGTCCGCAGCTGCTTTTTGTTGCTTAAATGAATCTGAGTTTGGTTTCAGTTCTAAAGGGAAGCTTCAGAGCACCACCTGTGCCGTGATCATCTGCTCGCGTGTTGCTCCTCTTTTTCTCCCTATCTCTCACCCCAACCTGAAGCCATTCAGAGAAGGTGCTCAGGCACAGTTAGATGGATGGTAAAGTGTGGACACTGTGCACATTCACTCCGGCTTCCTTCCAGAGAAGCTTATCACGGGCGCCCACCACGGTGACACAACTCCTGCTCCCTCCAACGTGAAGAACACGAAAGACGAGGCCATCTGGATTTAAGAGGCAATGAATGGGGCTGAGGAAGGAAGATCACTGGTTTGAGCCCAGCCTGGGTAACTCAGTGACTTAGTGAGACCCTGTCGCAAAATAAAAAATAACACAAGAGCTAGGGATGAAGTGAGCTCAGTGTGAAGGCCCTGAGTTCGATTCCCCAGTACCACCAAAAAAAAAAAAAAAAAAGAGAAAGCGGCACAGTTCTTTTCATAAAAGAAGCCTCTAGAAGTCACATAATTTGAGGTAGCTTTAGGGTCTGTGCTCCTCCTTCAGTATGCACATACGGAATGTAACATCTGCGCCACTGCGCGGGAGAGTAGCTCAGCGGCGAAATGCTTGCAGGGCACGCACGAGGTCCTGGCTTTGACCCTCAGTGTGATATAGGTTCACAGGACTCTTGCTGCTGCTCAGGTTGTCCTCTGTTGGGCCCGAGACTGCTTCACATTGGCTCCGGCGTCTTTGGTGTCAGGCTCCACTGTCTCCGACCTTCCCGGCCCCAGGCCCAGCTCAGAGGCCCTGGTTGCTTTCAGTGGAGAATAGGATTTAGTGGCCAAGATCGTGGCAAGAAATATACTCTTTGTAAACCAGAAAGAAGCATGATTTTTCATGTTTTTACCATCTCTGGAGGCCTTTTCATGAAGTCGGTTGGTGACAGCCCACAGGTCACTTGGGACTTGGTGTCAGCTGGGATGAGCACAGGGTGTGCCAGCCTTGACTGTCTTGGTTGGGACTGGCCAGGCACTCTGGGGCTGCCCTCTCCCTGACACCAGATGCCAGCTGCTCCTCTCTGGCTGTGGTGACCCAAACAGACATTACCCAATGCCCCTCCGGGTGGAAAATCACCCTCCATTAAAAACCACTGGGTGTCCCCTGGGATGAGTGGAAAATGTCCTGGAACAAACCAGAGAGCGTCTGAGTCCTGGCGTGACACTCACGGTGTCTGCCTGCCTCGGTCTCCCTGTGTGTTCAGTTGGGTTTAATGGTGACACTACGCACCTGTGACCTGCAAGGTGTCCCCAGGAGAAAGCGTGGTGGTGGCTCACTGCGATTTTCTGAGGTGGGGCTGAATCTCAGTGACTTGAGTCCTGAAGGTGCGAGAACTCCCCCAGCCCACCGGGTCCCTTCCAGCATCCACCTTGTTTAAGGTCTGTCATTTTACTGTCACCAGGAGAAAGTCCCACTTAATTCATTCCACATGCTGAGTGAGTCCTCAGGAGTCCGTACATCACCACAAAGCGACCAAAATGAATCATAAGGACAAGAGGGAGTTTTCAACCCTGTAAAACAGTGACTAACACAGTGCCTTCCCTTGTAGAAAAAAATTACAAGGTTAAGAAAAGGCCTAGAGCCTGCTTGTGTAATCCGTGTGTCAGCAAGTGTGACAGTTAAAGTGCAGGACTCCGGGGCCATGTGTGCGGCCTGGCCAGGCTGACACAGGTTGTGGGAGGGGCTCCAGGAGGAAAGAGTCCAGGATGTGGGTTCCCTGCACCCCACACTGTC